GTGCATTGAATTTATTTAATACACGAGTTTCACAATTTGAGTTGAATTACTGAAATAAATGAACTTTTCCACGTCATTCTAATTTATTGAGATGCACCTATAAATGCCTTTACTGTCACAATCAATGTAATGCCACCCTAATGAAAGGAAAAATAAAGAAATAAAATAACCCCAAACTTTTGCATGATAGTCTAAATAAAAAATCCCTAGTACAATATAGCAAGTGGCAGGACATTCTTAAATGTCTATTCTGGTTAAACCACCAAAACAAACATTTGATTGTTCAAGAACGCTTGTTCTGCACTGAGAGCCTGGATAATATATTTTATGATGCTGTGTGTGGTACAGTGACCTATGCTTCACTGCAAATATACAAGGGTAAAAAAGAAAAATACTGACATTTCTTTCCAAAGCTAAAACAAGTCATTCTGCTGGATAAATGTGCTATTTGCACAATATGAAAGCTTCTAATTAAACCTACAGCAGTTGTGATCTGTCTTAATCTTTTGTAAACATTCTCTCTCCCTCAATCGACCCTGCTGCCATAAAAGCTATTTTCTGATTATATACCTCTGATGTCCTTCAACGACAAATCCTACAGTTGCCACGGTAACCCCTGTCCATTTAGGCAAGTGCTCCAGCCAGCCCAAGGCCAGTCCCGCTCTCTATCATCACTGGAAATTGTTCTGAGCAACATTATTTCTACATCATCTATTCAACAAACATTATGACCCTTTAGAACGGCATGATGTATAAGTTCGGCAGTCCAGCTTTACACCTTCCTTTGTCCTATTTGTCTTTTTTGTCTCAATAACCCTTTAGAGAGAATTAAACTCAATGTGTTTAGATTCTCGTCAAATTCCCTGGTGTTCATACAGAGGTTTAAAATAAAGTTACATTCTGACTCACACGGTCATAAACATGGCATTAGTCATCAGACTTGTATAATGAGAGGCCTGCATTGCACCTCAAATACGACAGAGAGGTTTAACAAGCGAGTCCACACGCTTTTAACCATATTGCCCATTCATGAACATATCAATAGGTGATTTGTACTAAAAGGAGTCCAAAGATAAAACCGCACCTTTGAAAGTTTCATGCAACTTGCAGCGTGTCCAATTTCCTGCTGAGATGACTGATAGAAAGCTGAACTGAGCTGATGAGCTTTTGTTTTTATCATCTAAGCTGACCTTAATGTCATTGCCACTCGAATGCTTGGATCCATCTTACGGAGAAAAGAAGAAAGTTAGCTGCATGGTTTTCCATTCACAGCAGGTAAAAGATTGATCCCTTGTTTGCATCATATTGTCCCCTGAGGTTCCACTAATCCTCTGTAAACAGACTGTGCAACAGCCTCAGCAGAGAGCGACGACCGAGTCTGTGTGTGTGTGTGTGAGATGTGCCTTTCTCACTGTTGCTTTACTGTTTGTATGTCTGAACAACATTAATACACAACTACATATGCATATACACACACAAACCAAATACGATCCATCCTGGTGTCACTTCATTTCTAAAGAATTACTGTGATAAATATAATTTCCATTGAAACAGTGTAGTTTATACAGTTACATTTTAAAACTTTGTATTAGCCACCACTGTCATCAAAAAGTAGTTTAAATGAAAGAAAGTGAACTGTTTGAAGGAGTTCCTGTTACAATAATAAGAAAAAAAATGTTTCTTGAGCAGTAAATCAGCATATTAGAATGATTTCTGAATGATCATGTGACACTGAAGAATCAAATTTAAATTAAATTGATAATTAAATATTTCATAATATAACTTTTTTACTGTATTGTTGATCAAACAAATGCAGCCTTGGTGAGCATAAGAGACTAAAATTTAGATTATATGCCGTTTGTATGACCGTACTTGTTTGTTGCAATTCTAATCCTGCTTTGGCCTTCTTTTGGATCTATTATTATTGTCAGAGCAAATACTAACAAAATGGCCATGGTAATTGACATTAATTTATTGCTTTTAGCTGCTGTATGAAAGCAATAAATCACTCTCTAAATCATACCACATTACTGAATATTAACGCGACTACAATAACAGTGCGATTTTGGAAGTTATTTTGCTCAATTAGTAACAATAACTGAAGTAACCATGGTATTTTTTTGGCAGAAACCATGGTAACCATGCAAATTTAGTTTCAGGGTCAAACTTCTCTCACTATATTGGTACTTTGTATAAAAATGGGTAGTTACCTTTATTTTGTCTTGTTCTCTATATGAAAACATGCTGTAACCCTCAAACCTCTCCATGGAGAATAAATCATCATAGCAGTCAAAGCAAATGTGTTGGGGGAATAATGCATGGAGGACTACGCAACACTTATCTCAAATGCTTACTGCAGCTTAATATAAGAGAAGAGGGAGGAGGAAGAGAAGGAAGGAAACAATAACAGCTTATGGAGGCAAAAGGAAAATTCAGAGTTTAAACCGAAGCAGTGAAAAGCTTTAGTTATTGGAAGAAAAAAAGGGGAGATAAAACAGAGGCAGAATGTGCCAACATTTCACAAGACAATAAGCCTGTAATGAGTCTGTATGAATCCATTTCTGCATTTTTGTCAGCTGTTCATCTCTCATCTGCTCTTCCCCTGAGATCTGACAGAACTCAGCCTGGCATCCTAGGATGGCCAAAGGGATAATGACACCATTGTAACAACAGTTGCTATGCTTAAAGTTAAAATTAAACCACTTCCTCTCAGGCAAGACTAAATTTAAAACGTCAGCTCACTGACTGTGTCCACTGAAACCTGTTGGGGATTTTCTGAAACTGTTCTAAAATTCAGTTCCTGTCTGTTTGCGTCACAGAACTACTGCGTCACCGTAGCTTTAGATCTTTGCTTTGTCCCTCAGAGATGCATAGCAAAAATAGTATTGCAATGTATGTCCATTTGATTTTTGGTCTTTATTGCCTGCATCGACCAACACACTCCCCATCTAATGTCTTGGGTTGTTTCGTAATTGTGATGCCTGGTGTTGGGCCGCTTACGATTGCAAATGCACTCAGAAAGGCTGGCAGTGGCTGAGGAGCAATTAGGGTAATTCCAGCATGGCAGCGAGGCCGGCGGTACAGGGCTGCCGGAACCCGAGCAGAATGCTAAACAGCGCTCTGATTAGTCTGATTGGGGCTCTTGGTCCCTAAGTGGACCACAGAGATAGACAGTGAGAAAGGAAGGGAGAGATAGAGAGGCATACAGTCTGGCTAATTAGTATCCCTAGAGGTGCACAGGGAGCTTGGCGAGGGAGGTGAAGAAGAGATCGTAAAGAGGAAGGGAGGGAGAAGGGACATAGAGACAGTGGTCCGGAGCGGTGTGACGAAAGGTGAGACTCTGACGAGACTTGCCCAGCTGCTTGATGGCAACATGTATGAAGGCAAAGAAAGCAGGTGGCACCACAGTGTACAATTAACCATAATAATTTGATGCAACAACATTAAATTCTATCCGACAAGCCAATGATTATATTTACATGTAAGCATCTGACAGATGCTTTTATCCAAAGAGACTTGCACCGTATTCAAAGTATACATTTTATAAATTGGGAATTGAACCCATGACCTGGCCTTGATAGCGCCACGTTCTACTGTTCGAGCTACAGGAACGTCTAAATATGACAATTAATTTCCTGTTATGGCGACTAATATAATAAATATTTTGTTACAATTTAAAATAACACTATTTTAATACATTTTAAAATGCAATTTATTGCTGTGAAGGCAAAGTTGAACATTTCTTCTTATTAGCAGTGTTGAAAACAGTTGTGCTGCTTAATATTTCTGTGGAAACTATACAAAGCTATAAATATTCATAAGCATACATTTTCACAGTCCTCCAGCAGAGTTCCATTAACTTTAATATTATCGATGGTAGTTATTAAATTCCACAATTACATACCACCAATACTGCAAATGACTTATTGTTATTGAAATACCATATGACTTTAAGGGATAGCTTCTAGGGGTCGACCAATTATCGGTGCCGATATTAAGCATTTTTATGGTTATCAGTATTAGTCATTTTAAAAACCGGTTTGCTGATAAAATAATTTAAAAACATTTAAAGAAAGTTTTTGTCAGAGCCCTTGTTATTCTTAATTTTGACATTAATTTTTACACCAGACATATACAGTATATTGGTTCAAAATACCGGTTATCGGTCTTTGATCTGTAATAATCGTAACGGCCTTGGCCCTGAAAAACACACATCGTCAACCCCTAATAGTTTACCCAAAAATGAAAATCCAGCATTTACTCACCCTCATGTTGTTTTAGACCTTTATGACTTTCTTTCCTTCTTTGGAACATTAAAGATATTTTGAGAAATGCCTTAATATTTTTTTCCCTTATAATGGAAGTCAATGGTAACCAAAATTCTTTGGTTACCAACATTCTTCAAAATACCCCTATTTGTGTTTCACATAGGGACGTCACGAGAACCGATACTACGGTACTAAGTCGGTATAAACATTTTAAAATCCTGCCGGTACTTGTTTCTCTTCAGTATCGCAAGTACCGATGGTACTGAAGGTAGCGACTAGCAAGGCTGCAATTCTTCCAGAACTGACGGGGGCAGGAATAGCATACGTCTGGAAGTGTTTCAGTCGGTCCTCAAAGGGTAAAGAAAAAGAAAAAAAACGCCTACAAGCACACAGAAGAACTACACATGGAAGAGGGCGACGACATATGAATATGATTGTGTGAGATTTAAATGAGAGTGCACAGCTCTCAAAGAACGAGATCACGCACACACATAACTGTCTGACAGCTTACCGCTTGTTCATCCGTTGTGTATCCTTATTAACATTATTGGCTAATATTACTGGCTTTTAATTGTCGTTTATGTTAATGGTTTAAAAAAATATATTTTCAGCCAGCCAGTATGTCAGTGAACTTAAACTAATGCATGCATTCAGAGTATAGGTGTGTGTGTGCGCGAGTGCATGCTTGTGTGCGTGTATTATTTGAAGGCCAAGTGCCACTAATGTTGTGTTTTTGTAATGTTAAATAAAAGGAGTTAATGTTTAAGTATTATTGTTATTTTTGTCCTGTGGTACCGACTTGGTATCGAGTATCGTGTACCTGACGTGTAGTGGTATCGGTACAGACTACTTGATTTTTGGTATCGTGACATCCCTAGACTTTCACATAAAACTCACATAGCTTAAGAATGACATCAGTGTGAATAAATGATGACAGAATTAAAAAATTGTTTGTGTGTGAACTTAATTACACCGTGTCTACACCGGACGCAAGTGGCGGCCGGTGCCATCCAGAAGCATCAGTCAGTAAGTTCCAGGTCTGAGAGAAAGCTACACCAAGGTCAAATATGACTAAGTTCTCCCTTCTTAAACACAGCAACGGCTAAATAAACCTGGGTGGTCAAAGTCTTGCAAAATATTTACCACCCACAGTCAATACAACTCTCAGATGGACAATACAATGACAATGCTGTAATGTGGGAGCTTTTAGCCAATGAAAATGGATTAGTTAGAACACAATAAAACCGGTTTGCTGATAAAATAATTTAAAAACATTTAAAGAAAGTTTTTGTCAGAGCCCTTGTTATTCTTAATTTTGACATTAATTTTTACACCAGACATATACAGTATATTGGTTCAAAATACCGGTTATCGGTCTTTGATCTGTAATAATCGTAACGGCCTTGGCCCTGAAAAACACACATCGTCAACCCCTAATAGTTTACCCAAAAATGAAAATCCAGCATTTACTCACCCTCATGTTGTTTTAGACCTTTATGACTTTCTTTCCTTCTTTGGAACATTAAAGATATTTTGAGAAATGCCTTAATATTTTTTTCCCTTATAATGGAAGTCAATGGTAACCAAAATTCTTTGGTTACCAACATTCTTCAAAATACCCCTATTTGTGTTTCACATAGGGACGTCACGAGAACCGATACTACGGTACTAAGTCGGTATAAACATTTTAAAATCCTGCCGGTACTTGTTTCTCTTCAGTATCGCAAGTACCGATGGTACTGAAGGTAGCGACTAGCAAGGCTGCAATTCTTCCAGAACTGACGGGGGCAGGAATAGCATACGTCTGGAAGTGTTTCAGTCGGTCCTCAAAGGGTAAAGAAAAAGAAAAAAAACGCCTACAAGCACACAGAAGAACTACACATGGAACACGGAGACGACATATGAATATGATTGTGTGAGATTTAAATGAGAGTGCACAGCTCTCAAAGAACGAGATCACGCACACACATAACTGTCTGACAGCTTACCGCTTGTTCATCCGTTGTGTATCCTTATTAACATTATTGGCTAATATTACTGGCTTTTAATTGTCGTTTATGTTAATGGTTTAAAAATATATATTTTCAGCCTGCCAGTATGTCAGTGAACTTAAACTAATGCTTGCATTCAGAGTATAGGTGTGTGTGTGCGCGAGTGCATGCTTGTGTGCGTGTATTATTTGAAGGCCAAGTGCCACTAATGTTGTGTTTTTGTAATGTTAAATAAAAGGAGTTAATGTTTAAGTATTATTGTTATTTTTGTCCTGTGGTACCGACTTGGTATCGAGTATCGTGTACTTTTAGTGGTATCGGTACAGACTACTTGATTTTTGGTATCGTGACATCCCTAGACTTTCACATAAAACTCACATAGCTTAAGAATGACATCAGTGTGAATAAATGATGACAGAATTAAAAAATTGTTTGTGTGTGAACTTAATTACACCGTGTCTACACCGGACGCAAGTGGCGGCCGGTGCCATCCAGAAGCATCAGTCAGTAAGTTCCAGGTCTGAGAGAAAGCTACACCAAGGTCAAATATGACTAAGTTCTCCCTTCTTAAACACAGCAACGGCTAAATAAACCTGGGTGGTCAAAGTCTTGCAAAATATTTACCACCCACAGTCAATACAACTCTCAGATGGACAATACAATGACAATGCTGTAATGTGGGAGCTTTTAGCCAATGAAAATGGATTAGTTAGAACACAATCTTTCCTCCAATCTGTGGAGGCAAGTTCCTCGACATCCAGAAAAAGCAAGAGAGCAAGAGAAGGATAGGGCTTTGTCAGAGCTCAGACACAAATGCAAATGCCGCCACGCACTCACTGCTGCTGCCAAATCAGAGCAGAGGCAGCAGCATGGATGTAAATAGTATTAGCTGTGCATAAGCGGGGATTTACGATATTGTGCTTGCATTACGTGCACTAGCATAATATTAAATAGACAAAGAAAATTGACGTACAATTAGGGAAGCCATTTGTTAAACAGTGACGGAGGAACGGTGCCCGTTTTGAGTTTGCACAGCACAGGAGAGCAAAATAGAGAGACAAAGACCAGCACACATACAGACACAAGATGTGTCCGTGCAAAAGGAACAAAAAGAGAGAAAATGAAGGAAGAGGAGAAATAAAGAGTAATGAAAAAAAGAAGGAAAATGGGAGAAAATATAAACTCCTCTTAGATTATTTAGCACTGCATTCCCCAGGGGGACCATGTGTCACAACCCCGCTGCTGCCACAGTAACCACAATCCTGCTGACTACATAATTCAGCCATCGACCTGTGCATGAGCTCGAGAGGCACTCAGAAAGTCACTAGACACTGTAATACTGGAACTTAGACATTTCGAAACATCAATGCAGCCGGCTGATCCAGATTGATTTCAGCAGTGAAATAGTTTAAAAGCATATGCTTGTAATCATAAAAGCATATGCGGAGCAGGAAAACACGTAATGGAAAGTGATTGTAATGCAAATAAAGCAAAGACAAACACGCTAATGAAAAACGACAAGTATAATGACAAAAAGAAAGTAAAGAAAAGACTGAGATTTTTTTTTACAAAGGGATATTTAAGTACAACTAACTGGGACAGCAGAGGAGATGCTCTCAGAGCCTGTGAGACTGAATCTCCTGTCAGAGGAAGATTGTAAAGCTGTAATGAGGTCTCTGGCCCAGAGATGAGGTTAAATTAGTAATGTAGTCCCCCCACGTCCTGCACCATTACTGCTTCATGAGACTCTTCCAAGGGAACAATTTGCTCAATCTCTTCAAAAACATACAATTATCCAGTAAAATGGAGGCAATATGTTGTGTAAGACGTCTAGTCTGATCTGGATGAAATGTTAAACAACATGAATAATACTTGGACGTTCTGATGCCACATACAGCAATGCTGTCATTTATCTTGCCAATCACACTCCATTAAAGTAAATGCTAACCAACACAAACTGATATAATGCTTGGCTCCAGTATTATTATCATTAACAGAAACTTAAAAAAAAAAACTAAACTAAAATACGCTTTATATATGGTCTATAATAACACAAATTAAAAATAATAAAAAAGAAAAAAATTGAAGTTGAATAAAACAAAGATTACTGGAGTTTATTTTACAACACCATGCCATATCAGTGTTTCTACTTCAAAATTCCATAATTCATTCACTGTGTTGCTAGCCATTTCTTTGTAATTATTTGTGAAATTTATTAGTAAATGCTACATTAATTACAAAAAAATTTAATTATCTAAATTAGAAAAGAAATATAAAAACAAAATAACCCGAAACTAGAAAACTCTGAAATAAACGAATATAATTCATAATAAAACTGACCAACTTCAAAAAAACATTTAAAAACCAAAACCATGACAATCCTGGAACTGAAGTCTCAATGACAATACAAGCTAACCAGCATAAGACCGAGACACCCATCAAGTGCACTAAAAGCAACTAATTACTACTCACCCCCAGTTTCCTGCTCCGCATGCGGACATAGCCCTGCTTGACAATGTCATTGAAGTTGGAGGCCATCTCTGAGGAACCTGGGAACTTCTAGAATGAATAAAAGCTTGCATCCAGCCCTTCGGTTTCCCCCTTCAGCCAGTCCAACCAACCCCTTCCTTCCTTTGTTCACTTCTTCGCTTGTCTTCCAGTCTTCCTTGATCTCGTCTGCTCTGCAACTTTTGTGGAACTTCACGTCCAGAAGATCATGTAGCTCTTCAGACCAGGTTCACCAACAGGATTCAGTATCCTCAATCCTGCATGATCACTGAGAGACGAGAAAAGGACACATATCTTATTCATTTACAAGAATGGTGATTGCTTGCTAGATGATAGATTATTCATTGATTTGCTAGACATCTTCACTTGGGTGAAATCTAATTAAATAAAGTTAAAGAGTTAAATAAACATTACAGTTCTACATGACATATTTCTACCCAAAGGCTGCTTCAAATGTCATCATGGCCTAAATTAAAATCCACACTGACTGCAAACATTATTTCCGCACTAAATAGCTCAAGCCTCGCTTTGTGGAGAATGAGAGTTATTAAACGTATCAGAGTAGCAGACTTTCAACTGTCAGGGTAGACAGTCCTTAAAGAGAAAGTTCACCCAAAAAAAAGAAAAGAAAAAAATCTCAGTGTTTTGTTTGCATTAAATGAAAGCTATGCAATGTTGCATAGATGCCATTAATAGTATGAGCAAACAGCTGAATGAGTCTCAGTCTTCAGAATATCATCTTTGTTAGATTGAATTATGACAGGATTTAGATTTTTGGGTGAAACGAGAAATCTTACCCACATATTCAATCTTGTAAGCCTTTACAAACCCTCACTTTAAAAGAAAAACAAAGAACAGCTGACTTATAATAAGTAATAGAGGCATAATGTGCTAAACACACAGTTTGAGATGAAAAGTTTCTAAGCATTCATAATAATCCTCTGAGCTCCGGCCCTCAGGCCAAAGAACTGGGACATGGTTGTAAGTGCAAAACAAACAGCATCATCAGCATGCTCTGGAACAACACCCCAAAGTGGCATGCTTCCCCAGAAGAGAGCCGAGGCCAGCGCTTAAAATTCTTGACTGCAGTGGAACACAGACATTAAACTTTAACAAGGAGCTCATTAGCCAGGACAGAGCCAGGCTAATCGTCGTTGGCGCTGTTGGTTTTAAAAAGTGGCTCGCTCGGGGAAGGAGGGGCCATTTGCTCCAGTAGAAGATCAGTGAATCATAATGCCATTATTATGTGCTCTCATGACCCAGCTTCAAAAGCCCTTGTCAGAAGAGTGAATGGAGAAATAAAGATAAAAGGGAGAACAAGAACAGTTGAAGGAGGATATGAACGATGAAAAAAGTGCTTTTGAGAGGACATCAATGGAACATCATAATGAAAGATCAAAACAAATCTCAACAGCCTGAAAATCAAAACTTTCAGTGTCAGCAGTAATAAATATTCAAGGCGAGTTTAAGAACAGAGGTAAAGGTACAAGAAGTACTTCATGATGCTGTTATTTTAATGTCATTTTTTTACCCGATTTACAGTGGTCAATAAGAACCAGTCACCTTTAATGCCCCAGAATACATTGGAGAGGTCACTATGCTTAAATTTGAATTTACATTCAAATGTATTTTGATGGCAGATGTTCTTAGCACTGTGACTTGTATATTTTTGTATGTAGTCTATCATGATTACTGCTGTTCAGCAGGAGGCAACAGACACAAATCAAGCACAAAGTTAAAACTATAAAGTAACAATTTAATATAAGCGCTGCTAAGAGCCTTCTGCTGTATGATGAATGGGTATATTCAACCAAGAGTGTATAGCAATATGCTGAATTGTTAAGTATTAGGTCATGTGCAGTGAATAGGCACCAAAAGAGTTTCAGTCTAACAGAGTAAAATAACACCCCCCAAAAAGATGAGCAAAACAAACAAACAAACAAAAAAAGGTATAATAAAAATGTCAAGCAATTTGGAATTATTTTCTTTTAAATATTTAATAACATATGAAATATATTAATCTAATTATACATGGTCTAAATTATTATTTCAAATAAATAATGTTTTTTCAACTTTCTATTCATCAAAGAATCCTGAGAAAAAATGTATCATGGTTATATACAAAAATATTAAACGGTAAACAGCACAACTGTTTTCAACATTGATGATAATCATGTTTCTGGAACACCATATCAGCACAATAGAATGATTTCTGACTGAAGACTGGAGTTATGGCTGCTGGAAATTACATTTTAAAATATATTAAAATAGAAAACATATATTTTAAAGTGTAATTATATTTTAAATTATTACTATTTTACCGTATTTTAAAACATTACTGTTTTTACAGTATTTCTAACAAAATAAATGCAGCCTTGCTGAGCATATTTAAGACACCTTTTTTCTCCCCAAACACATGAAAAATCTTACTGACTACAAACTTTTGAATGTAATTCATTCATTTAACAAAAAGAAACTAAAACTGACCAACTTAAAAAAAAATTTAAAACCAAAACCATGACAATCCTGGAACTTTTGAATGGTGGTGTATATACGCACACATAATCTATTACTTTTAATTTGAAAAAATACTAAAATACTAAAGAAATAGTAATATATTTGAATAATATGCACACATAGTATATAAGCACACACATGCACACTAACATAGCCAGTGAGTAGGCAGCTGTAACTGTGTTAAGGGCTTAAGTTACAGCTGTAACAGCTGTAACTGTGTACTTGTAAATTCCAAGTAATCTCAGGCTTGGACGAACTTGAGGTCTCTTCTATGTTGGCAATCTTTGCCAATCACTTCTATCTTGAGATTGCCAAGACCGAAATTAGCCGAGAAGCCCTGTCGTTGCCTGCCCTGAAGCTTCGCTTCTCTTCTCATGTTTGTCGCAGGGAGAAACAGTGGTGACTAAGAATCCAGGTGTGAACAAGACTCAGAGGCAGCTAATGAATACAGACACCAGAATATCCCACCCAGCCCCCTGCAGCACTAGCGACAAACAGCTTGTTAAGACGCAGGTGACACTCAACGTGGGAGGAGGAATGGAAGAAGAACATCTGTTTTCACTGTTAAGTGCGGGTATTGACAGAGAGCAGAGAGCAAGCGGCAGACAGACACGTCTCTGTTGAACGCTTGGCTAATGATAGGCCTGACATGCCTTGTCGCCAAGTCTTCGTAATCTCTGAGAATTGGCCAGTTACACCACATTGTAATGGGTTTAGGTCCCATTTGGAAATATGAAGTTAGGTTTTCCTATCTTATTTTTGACGAAGTGGTGATAAAAATTGTGGTGTTATTCATTGTAACCATGACAACAATAACTTCCTACACAGCAGATCCAATATTGTTAAGCTCAGATCAGGAGAAAAATCGTACAATTGAACAAAATGTGCCTTCAATGATGAGGGTGACAACTGTACAATAATGCAAATGGCACAAATATACAATCTCTTTTATTGTTACAAAAATAATAAGTACATAAAAGCATTGCTGAAATTTGGGAACTACTCATCATTGTGTGGGCGATTTCTACTAGTTCAATTTTATTTCTTATTTCTTTTTCACTTGTATGATAATTTATGTCTTACTATATTGCATAAAAGTTTAGTGTTCTAAATTACAATGTCACAATTGAACAAAATTATGGTGAATTAAAATTTTTTTTTTTTTATTTCTATACTTCTTTACCATCTCCTCAACAACAACAGCATAAAAAGATTACTAGTTAAGTAGTTATAGTAATTATTAAAAACTAGTCATTCTTATATAAGCAATGACTAACTTTCTATCCAGTTAGACACCCTGTTAATTGTCTTGCTATTGTGTAAATAATGAAGTAATAAATACGTGTGTGTAAAGTGCCTGATTACACACAAACATATTTCACTTTTAATAGTTAAAAAATTCATAGGTACTGCATAGAAGGAATGAGTCATATTTCTTCAAGAATAGTTCAAATGGATTACATGCTTTAAATTTCCACTTATCTTTAATCTTGATATAAACCGCAATCTTGAGAATGACAGAAACAATAATGAGAGATATTTAGAGAAATTACAGTGTAAAGTTCTGGTCTGGTCATATTTCTATTAGCAAGGGATGAAGCTTTTCAAGACTATCAATACAAGCTGAGAGTTGCTCATTCACTTCTAAGTACTATGATACTGCCATAACACTGTCTCCTAACCAGCCGTGAAGTGATAAAGCATCAAGCAATAAAATTATATCTTCCATGTAAATCTGATTTCTGTCCTACCCAGCCACGACAGGAAATTTTGTCTGTTATTGGTATCTATTTTTTGCAGCTTCACACTTCCCATTGGTCCAACATTCTACTCTACACAGCTTAATATTTAACATCAAATATGTTCTAATTGTCTGTGATCATTTAGTAAAATATTTTCACTTTCAGTTAGGGCTGCACGATTAATCGAATGTGATTGTCATGCGCATCTTGTCAGTAAAGCCGGTTCTGTGATTAGTAGTAAATCTCCAGCACGTGCTTTCAGATGGAGCAGCATTTCCTACACAGAGCGGTAGTTCACTGACAAGCTATGCAAAATCGTGTTCATAATCGCAGACGATATAATCATAGGATTATGAAATCGAACAAATCGTTCTGCGATTATGAAAGCTGTTTGCGTAGCTTGTCAGTGAACTACGGCTCTGTGTAGTAAATGCTGTTCCATCTGAAAGCACGTGAAAATACCACATTTAATAACATGTTTTTACGTCAGTCGAGTGTTTGAAATAAACCATTGATGTGGCTTCTTACACAGAATAAAGCACGCAACATATTTCATAGTATTCTAAGCAGTGATAAAGGCTATGTCGATTAGCATTGCATTATTATATACTTCATTATAATAAAAATTATAATAAGACGAACTCAGATAAACCATATATTGTCATAGTCGTGTGTTTATTAGTCACATTGAATTAATGAAATCAGTTAAATGTAGTGCACTACTTTCAGTGCAAACAGACATATTACTGTAAAATCTGAAGACTGTAGATACGGTTAGATAGTGTTACATTACCACTATCCAATAACGAACACACAAGGCTTCATATTGATTAATACCTAAAATGTACATATTTAAAAAATGTCAACTTAATTATCTTAACTTTTAAGTCAGAAAGAACTTTATTACCAAGAATGTTTACACACACAAGGAATTTGACTTGGCGACAGGAGCTTCCAGTGCAAAAGAAAGTATGGACATAGTGCAAACATGAAAGTACAGACATAAATA